TGATCATTTGATGATCATAAAATGTTGGAGACACCTAGGCTATCCCCCGAAAAAAGCCATAGGGTGGGGGCTCTGAAAACACTGAGAAACATTTCATCTAATCCGCATTAAATAGGAGTATCTCAGAAACATCTAAAAAGTGAAAAATCACTTGCCATATTTTTGACTGGATAGTTACGTAACCTGCCATCATATTTCACATGGTTCCAGAGAATTCCACAAGCTCAAAGCTATCTGAAATATTTTAAATACTCTCTATTTTCTGTATATAAGGTTACCTTGGAGTAAAGCGTTCTTTTTTTATCTCACACTTTTCCTCTTTTGTCCAGGTTGTCGTGTAGATTTAGCCAGAGATTATTAGAAGCGCCTGGTTGCAATCCATGAGACGGTAGAAACCGATGGTTAGATACCTTGAATGACATGGCTGAAAATCGTTTGTAATGGCACAGGTGCATCCACTCTTTATGTTCTCCCAAATTCTAATCTTCTAAATAATTCATGTCTCCTATTTATTTTTCTCTTTCCAAATATACTTCACTGGATTATACTTCTTAAATAACGTTCTCAAACACCAATTTACTAATCTACTACCCCTATCATTTGTGATGGTTGAGAAGATTTGTAGCTCAGGTGGATGATTTTGATGGAGTTTTGTTCTCTGAGCTGGATGGTTTGGTCGTCCAACTCAGAGAACAAAACTCCATCAAAAACTTCTACCACTATATGATTTGAATGGACAATTGTATCTATGTGTTAATATGATGTAACAACTTGAACTGATGTACATACGAAGTTCTACGTTGTTGCTGACTGACAGACTGAATGACGGAGGAAACCGATTCAAGTGTTCATTCAGAAAATTTGCCATAAAAGTTATTTGATTTACACTTAAAGTTAAATATATTTGAAGGAGTTTTGTGGATATTATAGTAATTTTATCAGTTAGGATCATGAGTCAATTAAAACTAGACCACCACAGAAAACTTGAGAGCACTAGATGGCCGTTTCGTTCTATTGTGAGACTCCTTTGCAGTACGCATCCACGAACCCACGACCTATCAATCTCGCGCGCGAACGCTTAAACACTATATCACTGAATCGACATTCAACGGTGTTAATATCTTACTTCAGGCAATTCACAAAATCCATTACTGTCATCAGTGAGTTACTATCTCACAACAGACTCGGTTGAACTCCACTATTCATTGTTTCTCATCAGAACTCCAAGAAATACCTCTTGAAGCCAGTCATTAATACTCATATGTTGATTAATATCAGAAGAGTCTAGAAGTTAAGCGCTCCCTAACGAAGATTGTTAGTTCCTGGATTCAAATCTTTTTGAGTCAGGATCATGAATATACACTACTGAGGAATCTCACAATAGTACGAAACAATCATCAAACAGTACTTCCAGGTTTTCTATAATAGTCTATGTTTAATTGACTCATAATCTTAACTATTAAAATCGTCAGATGAGTTCTGTGAATGTTATAATCATTTCAATGGTTAAGATCATGAGTTAGTTAAAGTTAGACCACCATGGAAAATATAAAAGCAATGAATGATTGTTTCGTCCTATTGTGGGATTCTTCAACAGTGTCCTGACTCATGATCTTAACCATTGAAATTATTAAAATTATATTGATTTATTTATTTGTAAATCTGAATGAAAAAAGAGAATCCAAGTTTATTATTTTGTGTGTGTGTTTGTGTGCATATAAATGTGGCACGAAAAAAAATAAAGAAAAAAAAATGAGGAAAAAACAATTTTTCTCTCAAATATGTTTTTTCTCCTTTTTTTTCTTTTCTTTATAAAATTAATTAAAAGTTTCCCCTTGACTAATTTTTATTGATTTTTTAAAACAATCAAATTGTTTCATATCGGTGTTTTATGCCTTTTTTAATAAAAAAACTTATATAATACAGTTTTCTTTCTTTTTTTTCTTTTTTTTCTAAAAAAAATGTTTTAAACACTTCAATGAAATTATACATCAACCTAGTAACAAATCATTTTTATTTTTGTTTCTTGGGGGGGGGCGATGACAAGAGAAAAGGGTGAGGGTTGGGAGTGGGGGTGGGAGATGGAGTGAGACGGGGGGGGCGGCTAAGAAGAAAACGAATACATTTCAATGTTTCAATTAATATCCACTTATATTATTGACCATTATAAATAGTTATAAATAAATGGTGTTATTTTACAACTCTAAGGTTAATTAAATCTGTTCATAGAAGAAAAAAAATTTTATCAGTATCAAGTGTGCAATTTATGTAATTTATTTTGTTGATTTGAACTGTTGAAAGAATGTTGATGATTTGGTTCGTTTGTGAATGAGTTTTATAAGAATGTGAGGAGAGTTTGCTCTCCCTCTCGAAATGTTATCAGATAAGCACGCGTATACAGTCACTGACTGAGACGTCCTACTTACTGATTTCTCGCGGCTAGAATGTTCTTTATGAAATTGAGAGGACAAAAAGCGAATGTCCGACGGTTTAATCGAGTTGGTCAAGACGGAGAGTCTACCTAGGAGAGTCAGAAAACCCTGATTTCAAACAAATGGTTCATATGGGCTCTATGATCCTAAGGGAACAAATGAACCAATTGTTGATCCTCGGCTACTATGAGATTGCATCACTGCTTTGAGGATTAGACCTCTAGGTGAAAGGCTCGTGGAATGGCCATCTAAGGAAATCAATTGCTTCAGTTTAAGCGACCAGATAGTATCTCAGTCCTCACATAAATCGAATGATTTATGTGGCGCATAAGTATTCCGTGCCTCCTTTGTATCAATATTTATGTGGTTAAATACATAATAAATAAATAACTGACATTGTATGATATCACTCATTAAAATCTTATACCTTTATTCATCACAGAAAGATTTGAAGAATTAAAAGTCAGCTGGTTCCCTTCAGATTATATATTTGGTAACTAATGATAATATAGCATGATTCCTATCGATGAACAATGTAGTCACATCAATTTGATGACAGTCATGTCATAAATTATAGATGGAACTTCATGTAATGAATGTTCTTTTATGCAAAATGAAACCTGAATTAGTGTATAAGTTGGGACCTTAAGTGAAATCTTCGGTAAGAAATCCTACCTAATGAAATAATACACTTGGAAACAATGATTATTCACAGAGGCGTTTTGTGGATATTATGGTCATCTTAATAATTGAATTCATGAGTCAATTTAAGCTAGAACACTATGAAAAACGTGAAAGCACTAGACGGCGTAACTTTGTGGATTGATTGAAGTTAGACATTAATACCGTTGAGTGCCGAATCAGTCAGTAGTCTAGAAGTTAAGCGTTCGTGTGCGAGACCGATAGGTTCTGGCTTCGAATCTCGCGAGGCGGGGTCATGGATGCACACTATTGAAAAGTCCGTCCAGTGCTCACAGATTTTCTATCGTGACTCATGAGTTTAACTATTATTCAGCAGATCAACTGTAATGATACTTTCAATTTTACTATTTATCATATGAACTGACAATTAAATAAAAAACTGTTCTATTGAAAACATAAGATTCGCGATTCTGCTAAATAATAATCTATCTTCATTATAATTATCCAATGTTATTTCATTCAGATTCACTTGGTGTTGTTTTACTTGTATCTTCCCATTGTTATTTAGGACTGCAATTGATCAGTCACATATTGGCATATATGTATCCTGTGAGGATTGCTTCGATATTGCCTAAAGTCACATGTTTTTTTAAGCAAAGATGAATAGTAGCTATCAGTGGAATCCAGGATACACGTTTCTTTCTAGTTGGGACTCGTCAATTGGATGTACCTGTATCTCAGAGTTGATGTTCACTCCGGAACTCGAACCCAGTGCCGCTCGTTTCAAGCGTCCTGGATTCTACTACTAGCTACTATCCACCTTTGCTTGAAACGTTATCTCATTCAGTTACTTTTAATCCTAATAACCTTCCTGAGATTGCTGTATTAACTAATGCATGTAAATGAGCTTACACTTTGTTAAACATAAGGCTTGACCATCTACCTTTTCAGTTGGTTAACTTGTTATTATTCTAGATTATTTATTCAGTAGTAAAATCAATTATTCTATCAGTCAAATGTATAGAATGTTATATATCTGTTTCCATTATTGAACATGTGTGTGATATCAAACTTTTCCTGTTTATTTGGTGTGTATATGTTTGATAAATAGAAGAATGAAATCTTTACTATGGAGTTCATTTCAAGGAATAAGTTTCACTGGTGAGACTATAGTTTATGGACGACATTTGAGCAACGCTAAAGTGACCTTGAAGGTGTCCATCTAATAACTAGGACCAAATGAGGGTTATGAACCAGTGTGAGGAATTCAAATTACGATATACAATGGATGATTAAGGTTAGATATTAAATTTAGGGTTTTCATCATGAATCGATATCTATATAGCTAAATGATTGAATGAATTTCGCACCCGAATGTGAGACTTATTATCTTAAATTTGATTGATTCATTCATAGATTATAATAAACCAACACCAAAGTCACAAATTTCAATACAAATGTCAAGACAATTCTACTGCATTGGTCGGAAACTGGAAGAACTACGATAGCCACCATCAAGAAGATACAAGTGTTTATTCACAGTTGTCTACACAAAATACTTCGGATCCGTTGATCAAAAAATATCAGCAACAAGATTCCAGTGGAGGAAGAAATCAGGAAGAAGAGCTGGAAGTGGATAGGACACACATTCAAGAAAGCATCCAACTGTATCACAAGGCAATCCCTCACATGAAACCCTCAAGATCAAAGGAGAAGAGCAAGACCAAAGAAGAACACATTACGCCGAGAAATGAAGACAGACATGAGAAAAATGAACAAGAATTGGATGGAATTAGAAAAGAAGGCCCAGGACAGAGTGCGGGTTGGAGAATGTTGGTCGGCTTCATTAGGAGTAACAGATGTAAGTAACTAAGTAATGATCATTAACATCCAATAAAAGTTAAAATAGAAATAGAACTAATTTACCTTTTCAATGTTGTAGATAATGGATGAGCCATATGTTTAATTTGTTCTGGTGTTAAATAGGTATCATTTAATAAATTGACCATGTCAATTTTACCATATTTTTCAATTAAATAAGCATAAATATCACTTCCATTGATTAAAGAAAATAAAGCGGATAATCTAAGGGAATACCAACAAAAGAGAGAAAGAAAGAAAAACAAATCAATAAACGGTATCTTCATTATAATCAAAGGGGGGGGGTGTTGTGGAGATTGTAGTAATTTCAATAGTTAAGATCATGAGTCAATTGAAGTTAGATCACGATGGAAAACCAGCCGTTTGATCCTAGTCTGGGGCTCTTCAGCAGTACGCATCCACGATCCCACTTCGCGAGATTCGAACCCAGGACTGGATTAAAAAACAATCGGTAAATTAATTATAATTGTGTTCTCTTTCAACCTCGGTTTATTTATTTGGTATCGACTAATGATAGAAGTAAACTAGTTAGAAGGAAAAAGAGGTCAGTCTTGAAAAAAAAACATTTAGTTTGTGGAATAATACATGCTTCTGTATGGTATTATAGAAGGAACATCATTATGATAAGATTGTGAAACTTTATTAAGATAACCCCAAAAACGCTGTCATTAGTTCTACTTTACTTGGAATTCAACTCAAGGACAATCACTGCTTGAAATCAGGATGGATCGCTTGCTCTTATTCAAATGGACTGATTGTGAAGCTTTCATTGACATCTGAAGTGAACGCTGATGATGCTGTTGTAGAACAATAATAGCTTACTTACTTACTCACACCTGCTACCCCAATGGAGCATATGAAGCCAAGCAGCATTTTACAAACAATCTTTTCTGGGCCTTCCTTTCTAGTTCTATCCAGTTGTTGTTCATTCTTCTCATATCTGTCTCAGTTTCTCAGTGTAATGTGTTCTTTGGTCTTCGTCTCCATCTGTGAAGACTTATTCGTCCAGCTGCATCCTAGATGACCACTGTATCCCATACTTCCCCCCCCCAGATGTTGACGTCTTTATGACCCAGCGGATCACCAGGAGAAAGAGAAAGGGTGAGATTAAGCAACCTTGCTTGACACCAATTTTTACTTCGAACGAGTCTGTGAGCTGTCCACCATGCACAATTTCACTGTCGAATCCATCATAAGAATTCCATATGATGTTGACTATCTTCTCACGCATGGTATAGTGTCGTAGAATCCTCTATAGTGTTGTCCTATCGACTCTATCAAATGCTCTCTCTTAGTCAATGAAGTTGATACTTCATGAATAAACTATCCAAATGAAAGAATGTAACAGTACTAGACTTTGATTTACTAGTGACCTTCTTTTTGTTGTAAACCAGATATTTAAATGAGTTTCATTGCATTGTTTACTTATTAAATCTTTTTGTTTATTATGCATGAATGTATGAAGCTTAAAATGAATGAGTTGACAACAAACAGTTAAGAGAAAGAAATTATCATTACACATCTTGAGAAGATCTTGAATCGATTGATTTTAGACCAAACATTGAAAACCTGGAAGTATTGTACGGCCTTTTCGTCCTATTGTGCGAATCCTCAGCGATGCGCATCTACAATCTCGCTCGTGGGATTCGAACTCATGTGATAACTAGTGAATAGCTTCGTGAGAGAATTCTCGGAGTTATAGTGAGAAGCAGTGACTAGTGGATCTAATCCGTGTCGGGTAGAGATAGGTATCTACCTCAGTACAGTAGAAGACGGTCGCGCAATTTTGTGTATTGGTTGAAGTTAGACATTGACAGTGTTAGATGCCGGCTCATTGATCTAGTGATTAAGCGCTCACGCGCGAGACTGATAGGTTCTAGGTTCAAATCTTGCGAGGGGCGGAATCGTAAATACACACTACTGAGGAGTTCTACACTAAGACAAAACGGCCTTTCAGTACTTTCAGGTTTTCCATGGTGATCTAGCTTCAATTGATTAGTGAATTCAACTATTAAAAAGGTTAGAATTAATCTTTATTCTTATCCGCTTATAGTTTAGTTCGATTATATTTTCATTCTATTATCTTTCAATGTTTATTAAACGAACGAGTCAATTAAATTCATTTATTTAAACATTAAAACAAAAGATTTACAAAACCTTTTAAATCTTTTCCTTTGTTTTATCCTGAACATATGACAACTGGATTATGTATTCTTTGTTGTATAACAACAAATACTACTCGTACTACGACTACTACTACCATTACTGCCACTATTACTACGATTACTACTACTACAAGGACTACTGCTACTACGACTACGACTATGACTACTACTACTAATGTGGTGCGTGCTACTTATATTGATACAAGTAGTATATGACGCAAGTCGTGAATGTAATGTCTTACAGTATGGTATTATAGTACTGTTTTTCTATTTTACCAAGTAACTCTGCAATTTTGTGCTAAATATAATTCGATTGTCCCCACCCGTGTTCTGTTCACTACATTTCGTGTCGCTGCCATCCAGGCGAGGAGGAGGGTGCTGTTCTGCGGATGCCTTTGCGGGCCTGGAACTGAGGTGCTAGTTGGGGCAGTCTGGTGCAGGGAGGTATCGTCAAGCAGAGTGCTCTGGCGGTGCGGCGTTGGCTGTGGCGGGTGCCGTTGACGGAGAGGAGCTGCGGGACGTGCGGCTGCTTCGCAGATATAGATAGATCAGCTAGGCCAGTGGAGCACGGGTGTTAAGCGTCCCAGGTGCCGGGTGGATTTCGGATGTTGTTGCCCCGGCAGGTCGATGGAGCTATGGAGGTCGGTGCGCTGCAGACTCGACATTTTGATGGAGAGCGTAGCACAGACTTCAGAGACGAAGAATGTGGCACGGCGAGCATGAACCACCACAAGAACGACTGCTTTAAAGGGGGACGAATGTGGTGCGTGCTACTTATATTGATATAAGTAGTATATGACGCGAGTCAGGAATGTAATGTTTGGCAGCAGAAGATGGGGAATACCAAGAAAGAAAGAGCGGGAATAGAGAGCAATTAGTATGTAAATACAAGAACAACGAAGTTCTAGACAATTATTGAATATTTCGCAAATTAAGTATTATAGTACTTTTTTTTCTATTTTACCAAGTAACTGTAATGTTGTATATAGTGTAGTTCGGTTGTCGTCACCTGTGCTCTCCTTCACTACACTACGACTACCACTAGTACTACCACTACTCCTAGTACAACTGTCACTACTACTAATGTCTTCCATATTTATTTTTACCCATTTCACATAAGATTTGTCTTAACTATTCTCAATAGTTATAAGCATTTTTGACTACAGTTTCATTCAATCGATTTTCAATGTTTTTCAGATGTTTGTTGTTCTATTTTTTTTTTTTTGATTCATCTAAATATGATTAATATTACTCCTTCCTGATTCAATATAACTAGTTAAGAATATACAAATATATTTTAGATTCATATTCATAATAAGAAGTTTTTGACAGTAATTTTTATGATATAAATTGTTGTCAGTTTAGTAACTAGTGGAAAATAGAAGGAAAAAAATAATAAAGAAAAGGTATATACAACTTCACTTGGTATTGTTTTGCTCGCATATGTGCATACAGTAGCTAAGTGGATAACGCGATGGCGTTTGAAGCGAATGGTACTGAGTTCGAGTCCCAGAGTGAATATCAACTGTGGGATGCAGGGACATCCAGCTGACGAGTCCCAAATAGGACGAAACGCACGTCCTAGATTCCCCGTGTGGTTAAGCAAAGGTGTAGTCAAAACAGTTAACAGCTCCATTTTAGACCATCTAGTTCAGATAGAACACACAGCCAACATGGAGCAATCTTTTGCAATCATCTATCGTGTTAACAGCAGTCTACCTTATTCCGTCAGACTGTGAATCCTATAGACGGCTGAAGCATTTGCTATTCGGATCAAAAAGCCAGAGCTTTACATCTGAAAGAAATATGTTCAGCCACTCCTTTTATCCTGGCCAACTTTGGCGCCAACCAGTTAATAATCAATTTCATAATATGGTGACGTAATTTGATTAATGTTCATTTTATGTCCCAAACTTATTATTATTATTATTATTATTATTATTATTATTATCATTATAGTTGATAACCTTTTTGAGGAGTTCATTTAGTATCCACCTCTAAATCTACTATATCTGACCTAATTCATATTATTCTACATATTACGTAATCTCTGATTTCTATTCCATTACTCTCTCTCCCATCCCATGTTGACCATATTTATTCTGATCATTTATTGCACAATTTCATTTCATTAATAAACTGATTCAAGTTAACAACTTCATATTAGTCAGCCCTAACATTACCGATTTGATTTGATAACAAACAACAAGACTGATAAGTCCTGGGTTCGAATCTCGTGGGGTGCTGGACCATCGATGCGTACTGCTGAGGAGTCCCATACTAAAACGAAACGGCCGTCCAGTGCTTCTTTGTTCATACAATTGTATTTTTGTATTGTTCGGCTTGTATCTTCCCATTGACGTTTAGGACTACAATTGATCAGTCTCTTATTGGCATATGTGTATCCTGTGCGGATTCTTTCGAAAATTACCAGTAAGTCATAAGCATTATAAGCAAAACATGATGGCCGTTAGTAGCAGAATGTAGGACTCGCAGTTTCGTTCTATTTCAGACTGGTCAGCTGGATGTACCTACTTCCTAAAGTTGATGTTTACTCCGAAATCCAAACCCAATACCGTTCACTTCAAAAAGTTAAGTCGATAAAATAATGGTACATTCATATTCCTGTACTCTTAACTATTATCTACTATCAAATGTATACAAAATCGATTGTAATACACAATAATAAGCATAATATTGTAAAATAGAATTTGCTATATGAATAATTTAGAGTTTAAGAGTTCTCTCACGAAACCAAAGATTTTAGGTTCGAGTCCCTTTGTTACGGGATTGTGAATGTGCACTGTAAATTAACAATGTGTATTTATAATTTTTATGAAACTGATTCTCCCTAATGTACTTGATGCAAACACTACACTATGCAAAGTTACTTAGATTAGGGATCAAATTACATTTTGATCGATAGAATTTGATGAGTACTTAAAAGAACTTGGTACTAATAATATTGATCACTAAGTACTGATCAATCCGTTGTAACTAATTCACGAGAAAAAAAATAAGAGAGAAGAAAAGATGATACAATGACGAAATAGAAAGAAAAAAAAGGAGAAGAACCATACAATCCTTGATTATTCAATGGATAAGAATTAATACTGAGCTAACCGAGGCCCGCGACCGACCTCTTGTAGGACTGAAATGTAATCACAAATGATTGATCACTGGATGGTGATCAATGTCATGTGTGTCAAGTCCTTATTTAGTGCAGATCGAATGCTATCGATCATGTTGCAATGTGGCCATCAGTCTAGGTGAGTCAATATATTGTGCCCCACCCAGTGATCAATCAATTGTGGACAAGAATCATATTTGGATTCAGTTGATAGATATGATTTAATCATAATGGAAGAAAAAGTAAATGATTGTTGAAATAATGAAGCATAAAATACATGAAAGAGATTTTCTTATATACAAATGATACTACAGTAGTTTAGAGGTTAAGCTATCACGTACAAGATCGATCGATCCTGAGTTTGAATCTTGTGGAGTGAGATCGTGAATTTGAACTACTGAGGAGTCATATATTAGGATGAGACAGTCGTTCAATGATTTCAGGTTTTCCATGGTGATTTAGATTGAATAGACTTATGAATATTTAGTTTCAACCATATAACATCGTTAATATTATGTTATTCAATGTTCTGGAATATTCTTTCGTAAAGACAATGATGATTTATTGTATTATTAGTTATATTCAAGAAGATCTGAAACCCAAGCATCAAATGATTCATCTTCCTCTTTACTATTTGTATTCAATACCATAAATAACATTACATAACTACCAACTAACTCCATTTGGAGTCCCTCTGGGGTTACTGCCGGTCCCAAGCCCAGATAAAAGAAGGAGGGTTGAGCATGAGGTTAGTGACCCCATCCCATAGAAAACTAACTTGCAAAAATACAATAACCAGAAAAAAATAATTCAAACCATTTAAACTCTACTCTAGGAAGAAGAGTTATGACTTCTCATGACGAAAGACGAATTCCTTCGAAAGTCACGAGACTAACCCTTCTTCTGACAATCAGAGCAATTATTAATTTAGGTACATGAAATGTTAGGATAATATGGAAGACCGGGAGAGTAGGCCAAGTAAGTAACTATTAATTGACAAACTTTTTTTACATATATCACATATTTTTTCTATTAGTTAAGATCATGAGTCAATTGAAGCTAAACCACCATGGAAAACCTTGAAGCACGGGATGGCCGTTTTCCCCTATTCTGGGACTCTTCAGTAGTACACATCCATGATCCCGCCTCTCAAGATTCGAACCCAGGACCTATGAATCTCACGCGCGAGCGCTTAACCTTTAGACTCTTTTGATATTAATAAATATACGCTCACTAATGATTGGCTTCAAGAGGTATTTCTTGAAGTTCTAGTGAGAAGCAGTGATCAGTGGAGTTCAACCGAGTCTGTTGTGAGATAATAACTCATTGAAGATAATGATGGACGGAGGTGAAATTTCGTGGATAGATTGAACTTGAACATTAACACCGTTGTATGTCAGCTCAATGGTCTATAGGTTAAACATCCACGTGTGAGACCGATAGGTTTTGAGTTCGAATATCATGAGTCGGGATTGTGGATGCGCATTGGTGAGGTGTCTCACAATAGGCCATCAAACGGCCATCAAACAATGTTTCCAGGTTTTCCATAATGATCTAGCTTCAATTGTCTCATGATCTTAACTATAAAAATTACTGTGAATATCTACAAAAACCCTTTTGCTGAAATATACCACATGTGTTTAAATGGAATTGAAAGAAGAAAACTAAACAGAACATTTAACTGTAATAAAATTTCAAATTACCTCATTGGATTAATATTGCATAATCTAATTATCCCATTTGATTCCATTAATGTTGTATTATCACTATGTATTATATCATCCTGATACTGTTGGTGCTGTTGCTGATGCTGGTGCTGCTGCTCATGATGATGATGATGATAATGTTGATAATGATCTTCATTATTCATATTGTGTTTATTTAAATAGGAATTTTGTAAATAGTCAATGAATCCATTCATATGATGATCATCATCAATGAATAAATGATAAGCTTTTAACCATTCGAATGTACGATATAATAGTAAAGTTAAACATAAGATAAATGATATGCAATGAAATAACCTGAAATAGAAAATAGAAAATCAAGATATATATATCTTGTATTCATATGACAAGTAAGCATAATTCTATTGTATAGAGTTGGACTTGGAATCCTGAATTGAAGCGGAAAAGAGGAAAATCAAAGAACACATTACGTCGTGAAATCGAAGCAGATATGAAAAGGATGAATAATGACTGGAAGGAACTGGAAAGTATTGCCCAAGACAGGGTTGAATGGAGAATGCTGGTGAGAGACCTATGCTCTTTCACGAGGAGTAACAGGCGTAAATAAGTAAGTAAGAGTTGAAACTTCAAGAACTACTAAAAATTGAGAGGATGAAAATTGAATGTCTAGCGCTTTAACTGGATTGGTGGATAAAGAGAATCTACACTTAGGGGAATTGGAAAAGCTTCATTTCAAACCAATTGTGTAAATGTGTTTCAGGATCCTGAAGGAATAAATGGAGTATTAACCAATTATTAGTGAGATGATAGCAACCGATGGTTAAAGACCTTAAATGATATGGCTGAAAATCGTTTGTAATGGAGCAGGTGAATCCACACTTTGTGTTCTCGCAAATTCTAACATTCTAAGTTCTTCATGTCCCTTACTTTTCTCCTCTTTCCAAATTCATTTCACTGGATTATACTCCTTGAATAACATCTTCAAACCCTTATGTTTTCGATTACTGCTTATACTCTTACTACCTCTACCACTAAGGGATTTGAATGGACAACTGCATCTCTGTACTAATGTGGTATGGCAACTCGAACTGATGTACGTACGTACGTACGTACGAAGTTCTACGTTGTTACTGACTGGCTGACCGACAATTATTGGTGACCGGCTTGTTATAATTTGTGGTTTGAATGCTTATTGTCTTGGCTCTTTTAATATTACTTTTTGTATCTGGTCCTCGTTGATTGGCTATATCGGAAACGCTTACCATTTATACTCGGAACGGGGGACCTCTGCAATCCCAACGACGCGAAATTAAGACTGCTATAAGTGAAGATTTATTAGCCCCCAAACACTATGACAACGACGAATCGAAATCTAGTCTAAAATACACTCATTTATATATTGATTGTACACCCATTTTGATTAATAATTAGGATTAAATCACATACTCAGTTATAACAAATCACTTACTGAGCATAGTTCATGTCAATGGAATACAAGAATATCGTATATTATACAGAAGAAAATATTATACTGGGAAAACAAATCAAATACTACGCTGAATGATCCTCACGTTGAATCAGAACGGACGTTGAATGTTGAATCAAACTCATAATGAGTAATTCAATCTAAAATTGACTTATCTTTCCATCATATCACGGCTACCATAGGATTGCGTCTCCTCATGTCGCTCCACTACCTTGTGGATCAGACCCTTAGGTCGAAGGCTTCGAGCGCTGTCCCCTAAGGCAACCACCTGTTTCAGTCTGGGAACCCAGGTAGTACCACAGTCCACATACAAATCAAGTGACTTGTGTGGTGCATATGTATTCGGTTCCTCTTTGTAACAACTTACTGTTGGAGAGAGAAAACAAGCTTCCAATTGAAGAGGATTTTAGGAAATCGGTATTAGAGATGGATAAGACGTATATTGTGGATATCATCAAACTGTATCACTAGGCAAGCGCCTACTTAAAATCCTGAAGGGAAACGGAAAAGAGGAAAACCAAAGAACGCATTGCGTCGTGAATTAGAAGCGAACATGAAAAGAATGAATAACAACTGGAAAGAACTGGAAAGGACTGTTCCATGACTGAGTTAAATGGCGAGTGCTGATGAGCAGCCTACACGTAAGTAAGATCAAGTTACTTTTCAAAGAAAAACAGTATACCAAAATACCATTGAAAACTAGATAGCACAGGACAACTATTCTGTCATAGTATGATACTCCTAAACAGTGTCTCCTCAAAACCTCAACAATGACCAAGCGTAGAAGAATTCCTGGTGAAGACCAACTATTGGTTAAAATTGGATTAATTAGATATGTTTGGTAACAAATTGTTTATTCTGGTTGGTGTTTTTATTTCTATGTGATGAGGTTTTCAACCCCATACCGAACTCTCCTCTTTTGCCCGGGTTTGAGATTGGCAGTAGCCCTTAAACAGTAACAGGTGAAGTTAGATGGAGAATGATGGTAAGCGGCCTATGCTCCTCTATCAGAAGTAACAAGCATAAGTAAGTTTGATAACAAAATAGTAGTAGCCGAAATTTGTGACATATTTGAATGTCTACATTTGACGCTAGAATTTATGATATCATACACGTACGATAAATGTCTAAGCATTGACTATAGAATTCCGATTAAATAGTTTGCTGAAAACTTATCAAAACTCTTCCCATTGATATCTTCATTCATGTAACCACTAAGTGTACATTCATTTGGTATTGTTCATTTGAATCTTCCCATTGATATTTAGGACTGCAATAGATCAATCTCTTATTGTCATATGTGCATGGTATACAGATTACTGTGATATTACCTTAAGTCACAAGTATTCTAAGCAAAGATGGATAGTGGCTAGTAGTGGAATACAATACGCGCATTTCGTCCTATTTGGAACTCTTCATCTGGATGTTGAATGTATCATGCATGTGTAAAGTACTTTCTTCAAAATCTATGTCTAAATGATCGAAAAACAATGAAATTGTCGAAACAGACTCAACAAAACTGTAGACAATGGTAAGGCTATAACTTTGTTCAAATGGGAAGACAATCAATTAAACTATGATAGGACTAGTGTTGACAATTACTAGTCATATTAATTGTTAACAAAGCAACTATATGACATATATATATGGAAATATTCTAATATCAATCACACTACTATTTGAAGTTTATCCTGACAGTGTTGCTTAGACACCAACGAATGTTTCATGATTACGTAATCCGTCTTCGACAATACAATTTCAACAGAAATTATTCTTGTTTGTTTTTTTGATTGAGATCATAAACCGATTGATGTTAGATCACTAATTGAATACCTAGAAGCAATGGACAGTCATTTCATCCTATTGTGGAACTCTATAACAGTGAGCATCCACGATCCTGCTCATAGGATTCAATGATGATCTAACATCAATCGGTTCATGATCTCAATCAAACAAACGAACAATTTAATAATCTCCCCTACCCTCAATATATGATCGAACACTTAAGTTACTAAAACAACATGTGAAATCATTTCATTGATATAAGAAAGCACAAAAAAATAACACTCAACTTACCATTTTTTTGTTTTACCATAGCAACAAATTTTTTTTTTCATTTTTCTCTTCTTTTAAATGAATCTAGTTGTACACTTAAATGGATAAGTAGACATTTCGGTGCTAAATTTAAGTCAACTCAATTACATCATTCATCTATTAGGATAAGATTTCATACATATAAATTATTATATTGAATATGATTTCATGTTGACGATTGAATTTGTTGCTAAGTGGTTCAAATCTCTCTAGAATTTTAGACAGTAGTATCTAACTCTTTATGTATCTCTGTATATATATATATATATATATATATATATATATATATATATACAGAGATACATAAATAGTTATGATAAATAAATAAACCAATCAGAATAGTGTAATATAATCCTAATAAATAGAACAAAGTTACTTGTTGCTTTGATGAGTTTCAGTCTGTCTTTTTTTCTTTCATAATGTCTCATTCTGTCTGGTTGAGTCGCCATCATCATCATCATCATCATTCTGGATTAAATGACTGAATGTGATAGTGTATTAAAACATTCCAAATGTTTATTTCATTTCATCAATGAAGAATTGATTAGAAAGGGGAAAAATATCAAAAAGAAAACGTAAATGAATGAAACAACTCGTTGGAAAGAAGGAAAATAAAGAATGAAGGTTTGAAGACTGAAAAGAGTAATCTTGAAGTGTTGTAAACAAATAAGAAAGGTTTTTTATGGTGATCTAGCTTCAATGGATTCATGATCTTAACTATTGAAGTTACTATAATATCCACAAAAAACCCTTCTGGTTATAATCATCATTAGTGACTGTCTTCAAGAGGTATTTCTTGGAGTTCTAGTGAAAAACTGTGACTAGTGAAGTTTAGTCGGGTCTGTTGTGAGATAGTAACTCACCGATGACAATGGTGGATGTGTTACTCAATTTCATGGATTAGTTGAAGTTAGACATTAACACCGGCTCAGTGGTCTAGAGGTTAAGTGTTCGTGCATGAGACCGATAGGTCCTGAGTTCAAAAATCACCAGGTGGGATTGTGGATGCACACTGCTGAGAAGTTCCACAATAGCAGAAAACGGCTGTTTACTGCTTCTAGGTTTTCCATGCTGCTCTATCTTCAATTGACTCATGATCTCAACTATGGAAATAAGAAAGTGGATAAATAAGTTATTAGGCAAGCATAAAGACCAAAGATGAAGTGAATGGATAGAATTTGAAAATTATATTTCAGATTAGAAACAAGAAATGGTTAGTACTAGCTGCTATTCTTATACATAAATACAAGTACGATACATGACGTTTGATTTAGATGTACACACCTCCTACACGCTTACTCAACCAACTACATTAGTGAGAATATTGAGAAATGTTTAGAAAGCTGTAAATGAAGAACCAAATGAATAAAAACACAATTTATTGATACATATACACATGTTCATCTCATCCAGACAAAAATGTATAGGCTTAAACCTTGATTTAAAGCATAATTGGGTCTCTACAGAAGTGACTCGTTTGTAATCTTTCACTCACTATTAGACTTCAAATGTCTTATGAGCAAAGTAACGTGATTTACGGGACTCATTCAGATAGTCATATACATACTTTCATATACTGAAAAATAAAGAGGATACTGTAATTGAATATTTTTCCCGTCAGCTAGGTAATTTATAGTCCAAAATTTGTATGTGTATTAACATTTTTTAATGGACTGTGATTGGCTGATGAACTATTGAAATCTAAAGAATTTTGAGCAGTTTTTTTGTTATGATGTTACTTGCTTACATACGCCTGTTACTCCTTGTGGAGGGGCATAGGTCGCACAACAGCATTCTCTATTCAAACCTGTCCTGGGCAATCCTTTCCAGTTGTTATTCATCCTTTTCAGATCTGATTCCATTTCCCGATGTGATGCATTCTTTGGCCTTCCTCTTTTCCAATTCCATTCAGGATTCCAAGTTAGGGCTTATCTGGTGATGCAGTTTAATGATTTGTATAATGTTTGTCTTATCCATCTCCATCATTTTTTTCATAATTTCCTCTTCAGCTGGAAGCTGGTTTGTTCTCTCCCACAGAAGGCTATTACTGATGGTATCCGACCAATAGATGTTGAGTATCTTGAGTAGACAACTATTTATAAATACTTCTACATTCTTGGTGATGGTTGTTGTAGTTCTCCACGTTTCAGCTCCATACAATAGGACTGTCTTGATGTTTGTATTGCAGACTCCCACTTTGAGATTGGTTGATAGACAGTTGTTTTGAGTTCCATATGTTCTTCAATTGTAGGAATGCGACCAGTGCTTTGCGAATCCTCGCCTTCACGTCTGCATCTGATTTTCCTTGTTCATCGATGATACTTCCCAGGTATGTGAAGGATTCCACATCTTCCAGAGTTTTCCCATCAAGAATGATTGTGTTGGTGTTGTCCGTGTTGCATTTGAACACCTTGATTTTCCCTTTGTTTATGTTGAGGCCTACTGATGCAGAGACTGCTGGTACACCATACTACGTTGAAAGCACCGGTTCTCATCCAATCACCGCATTTTGTTAAGATGTGAAACTCTTTAAAAATGTGTGCCTACAAACTCGCCAAGAATCAGATTCGGGATGGTTAGGTCGTGCAGTGGAATTGACAAAGGTTCATATTTCTAATTTCAGTCAGTTTGTGGTTCACTGTATCGCCGATGAAGGCTGTCTCACATCCGACATGGTCGAATCGTACAGTTAATTCTATTAGAACTATAAAAACTAATCACAAAGTAAAATACCCAGATGCTTTAAGCGCTTTATTGAGAATTGGTCGAAGTTAGGGATGTAAACTGTCGGAATCTCAATCCGAGGTAAATCAATAAAAACTATGAATATTACTCATAGACATTGGCCAGACACCGTCAGCAATAAACTCCTGTGACGAAAACAAATCATCTTTCAACTGTAAAGAAAATCAATAGAAGATTCTGAAAGTGAATAGAGCTCAATTTACGGAAATTATCAAGCTAAATAACAAACCAAACTCTAATTTAGATTCTTCAAGAGAAGGCAGGCCAAAAAAACATTACATTGGAAGTTGAAGGCAGACAGTGAAAGAATTATAAAGAAGATGAAAATAAATGGAAAGGAGTGATCATGACAGACTAGATTGAAGATTATCTTTTTTCAGTCTATACCCTAAGAGGAGTAATGGTTATAAGTAAGTAAGTAAGTAAGTAAGTAAGTAAGTAAGTAAGTAAGTAAGTAAGTAAGTAAGTAAGTAAGTAAGTAAGTAAGTAAGTAAGTAAGTAAGTAAGTAAGTAAGTAAGTAAGTAAGTAAGTAAGTAAGTAAGTAAGTAAGTAAGTAAGTAAGTAAGTCAGTAAGTAAGTAAGTAAGTAAGTAAGTAAGTAAGTAAGTAAGTAAGTAAGTAAGTAAGTAAGTAAGTAAGTAAGTAAGTAAGTAAGTAAGTAAGTAAGTAAGTAAGTAAGTAAGTAAGTAAGTAAGTAAGTAAGTAAGTAAGTAAGTAAGTAAGTAAGTAAGTAAGTAAGTAAGTAAGTAAGTAAGTAAGTAAGTAAGTAAGTAAGTAAGTAAGTAAGTAAGTAAGTAAGTAAGTAAGTAAGTAAGTAAGTAAGTAAGTAAGTAAGTAAGTAAGTAAGTAAGTAAGTAAGTAAGTAAGTAAGTAAGTAAGTAAGTAAGTAAGTAAGTAAGTAAGTAAGTAAGTAAGTAAGTAAGTAAGTAAGTAAGTAAGTAAGTAAGTAAGTAAGTAAGTAAGTAAGTAAGTAAGTAAGTAAGTAAGTAAGTAAGTAAGTAAGTAAGTAAGTAAGTAAGTAAGTAAGTAAGTAAGTAAGTAAGTAAGTAAGTAAGTAAGTAAGTAAGTAAGTAAGTAAGTAAGTAAGTAAGTAAGTAAGTAAGTAAGTAAGTAAGTAAGTAAGTAAGTAAGTAAGTAAGTAAGTAAGTAAGTAAGTAAGTAAGTAAGTAAGTAAGTAAGTAAGTAAGTAAGTAAGTAAGTAAGTAAGTAAGTAAGTAAGTAAGTAAGTAAGTAAGTAAGTAAGTAAGTAAGTAAGTAAGTAAGTAAGTAAGTAAGTAAGTAAGTAAGTAAGTAAGTAAGTAAGTAAGTAAGTAAGTAAGTAAGTAAGTAAGTAAGTAAGTAAGTAAGTAAGTAAGTAAGTAAGTAAGTAAGTAAGTAAGTAAGTAAGTAAGTAAGTAAGTAAGTAAGTAAGTAAGTAGTAAGTAAGTAAGTAAGTAAGTAAGTAAGTAAGTAAGTAAGTAAGTAAGTAAGTAAGTAAGTAAGTAAGTAAGTAAGTAAGTAAGTAAGTAAGTAAGTAAGTAAGTAAGTAAGTAAGTAAGTAAGTAAGTAAGTAAGTAAGTAAGTAAGTAAGTAAGTAAGTAAGTAAGTAAGTAAGTAAGTAAGTAAGTAAGTAAGTAAGTAAGTAAGTAAGTAAGTAAGTAAGTAAGTAAGTAAGTAAGTAAGTAAGTAAGTAAGTAAGTAAGTAAGTAAGTAAGTAAGTAAGTAAGTAAGTAAGTAAGTAAGTAAGTAAGTAAGTAAGTAAGTAAGTAAGTAAGTAAGTAAGTAAGTAAGTAAGTAAGTAAGTAAGTAAGTAAGTAAGTAAGTAAGTAAGTAAGTAAGTAAGTAAGTAAGTAAGTAAGTACTTATACACAAATTATAACCCAATAAATAGTAAAATTGGTAGACTGTATTTTAACTGTCATTTGTGCTGTGGAATTGTACATGTTCATGTAGCAAATACATATCTTGAAAGCATCTAACAAGATAGGATATAGTACTTTCGACTAAACCAATAAACTTTAAGTATATTCATTACTCAAAACCTGGAAGTACGGGATAACCGTTTCATCCTAGTATGGGATTACTCAGGAGTGCGCATCCATGATACCGTAAGCGGGACTCGAACCCAAGATCCTCAGTTTTGTTAAACCTTTAGGCCATTGAAATGGCATACAATGGTGTTACCGTCTAACTTCAACCGATTCATGTTCTTGCACAACCTTTCATCCATTGTCTGAGGTGGATAACTGTCTCAAACGCGAGATCTAATGTCTTGGGTGCGAGCCCTGGGTTTGCGATC